AACCTGTAATATTGCAGACCCTTACTAAACAATCCTGTAGTACTCTGTAACAACAGTAAGTATTATTACCCCATTCTGCAGAAGGGATAATGGAGGTATAGAGGTTAAATTATACGTCCAAGCCCACAGAGCAAGTCAGTGGATAGTTCTGGCTCAGTCCATTGCTCTGATCACCAAGCCTGACTTCCTATTTCATGTCTCTTGAGTATCTCCTACCTCTACACAGCTGCCTTTTAATGCCTCTCTCTCTTGCTAACTTTTCCCTACAGCTCTTCACAGTCCCTTGAGCACATTCTTGCTTTCTGGTCCTAGTTCTGTTTTTTGCTTCTAGTTGAAAGGCCCAAAGCAGATCATGAGAATCAGGTCATGAGTAACTTCTCCAAGTTCTCATTGGCAAAAGGCACTAGCAGGTCTGGCAAGAAGTCGTTCCTTCTCCTTCTGGACCTGATGTTGGAGAGGGAGAGAAGGCCAGCTTAGGAGTTGTAAGACTTGCGTGGCACACTTGGCCCCCCCTAAAAAAGTGAAGCCCCAAGTGGCTATTTGCTGAGAATAAACTACATCTGCTAAGCGGACTGGCTTTTTATATTGCAGATGGCATATCTGTACCAGCACCAGGAACATGCACTGTGTCAGCTAATGTCTTGCCCAGAACTTATCTCTTCTCCAAAATATGTGATCAGAACATCTGAAAACCTTTTGCACTGTCTTTTTAAATACCTTGAAGAGCTTCAGGGCTTCTGTTTGCAGTGCCTCTGAAGGCAGAGTCGTGAGAGAAGTTTGCAGCCCATCCTTGCTGTAGCACAGCATTGGGTGTTTCCACAGTGGAGAATCTGAAGTGCAAAATGGAACAAAAACACCAACCTCAGAAACAACATACCATGAATTTGTACGTGAGGTAAGAAGAAGTTTCCTAAGAAAAAGTTAAAACTTCTGCAGAGTCTTTCCTTGCTGAAGGAGAGTGAGGGTCAGGAGCAAGCAACTAAGGCAGGCAGCAATACATTGGGTCAGCAGTATGTCTCTGGTATAAGTCTACTGATTGCAGTGAAGTCATGACACTAACAACAGGCAAATCTCTTTGAAGACCAGTGAGTAATATCAGATAGCAGCATAGGGCACCCCTGTGAACTCTTGCCATGCCATCTGAGTGCTTCACGCAGACTAGATTCTGGTGGGAAGTAATTCTGTTTGTCGATAAAAGTAAGACAGAGAAACCCATGTGTAATGCTTGTGGGACCTTTATTCATGAAATATATTGTTCCACATCGATTAAAATTTAAAGATCATTATATGCATATGTGAATGTACAGTAGAGAGTATGTATATATTCGGGGGTGTGAGGAAACGTTCGTGTGAGTGAGTGAATGCATGTCCATGGGGTTGCATGAATATGTATAGATGGTACATGCATACATGAGAATACTTGTCAGGGGATGAGTACATAGGCCTATACGCAAGTGTGAGAGTATATGCACTTGTATGTGTCTGGTATAATGTGGGTCTGTGAATATAAGCAGGCATACATGTGTGTTGCATACATACATATGGCAGCCAAGTGTATGTGGGTTTGGAAAAGTGTGTGGCTTTATGGCTGTGAAGCATAGAAAAGTGATAGCTCAAGGCAAACAGTGCCAGGTGGAGCCAAAGATCCATATTTTTGTCTTTTTTGTTAAAATATTCCAGATCTTTGCTCAGTATTTATTACCATTTCATCTCCAGTATAATAGAAGCTTTGATGATCCAACTGGCAGAGTTGCCTAGCTTCACTCTGTTTCCTGTGTTCTCTGCCAAAATCCTGTTGCACAACTAGTGGTGAAAGACAGCATACAGTATGAAAGACACCATTTCAGATGAGCCATCCCCCTCTGCTCACCTGTGCCTTGAAGCAAACCGTGATGAAGAGAATTAGTCATCACCCTTTTCTACTGTGGGAAAGACATTCAGGGTTTCTACTTACGGGGGTCTCCCTCTGTATCCAGCAGTTTTCCAATGAGCTGTTCATATGCTGTGCCCACCTTGGCACTGCTGCTGCCAGCTGCTACAGTCAGATGGTATAGCCATGTATCCTTGGTGAAAAGGAAAGAACAGCATGTAAAGGGTGCTGTAAATCCAGTGACATTCACATTGTTATGTTTACAAGTAACCAGCCATCAGGATGCCAAAAGCGAAGGGTACCCATTAAAGGTAAACCCATTCTCTCTCTCTCTCTCTCTCTCTTTCTCTCTCTCTCTCTCTCTCTCTCTCACACACACACACACACACACACACACACACACTTTTTCATTCTTTCCTTCAAATTTTGGTTTACTCAGGTTACAATCTGACCAAAAGCCAACAGTGAGCTGCAAGTATGGCTAGGCCCATCACTATTTATTAAGAGCATGCCTACACTGCAGTCTGAACGTGTGATTGCAGCTTTAAACTAGCTAGCTTGGTAGCAGTGTAGCTGCAGCACAGCCTTCAGCTACATATCCAAAGCCCTGGGAAAGTCTGTGCAGCTCTTGCTGAAGCCCATGATGCTGCAGATAGATTATTACCAATATATAAGATAACTAATTTAAAGCTGATTCAGATATGTGGGTACCTCTGGATTGCAGGCTAGATTCACTGTCATTTAGGAGTTATGGTTTAAGAAATGGTCTTTTGCACCAAAAGATTCCAGGATCTAAGTATGGAGGGGACCTCTGAATTTTGGACAGCAGTGCGTTGAAGTCCAAGGATCTTTCACACCTTGTCTAGGAACAGCAAGGCAGACAACATACATACACTATCTATTTCACTGCTAAGTGAAAATAATCTGAGAGAAGACAGAGTCCAGCAGGGCTGTGGGTGATCTTTGTGGGGCTTGGAAATGCTTGTATTAAAAATGTCTGGGAGAGAGGGAAGCAAAAATGAAAAGTAAATGGAAGATAAAAGGAAACCTCAAACACCTCATTGCAGCTTAAAGTTGTATGCGGGTTTTGGGTGATATGTCAGATTGCTCCTTGTTTTATTCAAATTTTGCTCTGTTTTTGCCAGTCCGTAGTGTCAAGTGTTATCAGTATTGCATCTGCTTGCTCTCTAGGGACACCAACTCACATACCTTCTCATGTTTGGTTCCAATAAGTAAATAAGTGGGACTCTGATCTGGTGGATGAATCACCAGAGTGCAGTGTGATGAGAGGAGGCCCCCACCAGTGGCTTCATAATCTTCATCTGAGTCACAGGAGCGGTCCACCTCCTCCACCTTTGATTCCCGGACATGCAAATGTCCCAGAGGACACTGGGGAAAGCAAATGAACTAGGATAAGTTCCTTATCTCAAAATGCTGACGGGTCTACTGAATGCAAGAATGACAGAATAAGAGGATTGGAAGGGTGCTCACTAGTTATCTTGTCCAGCCCCCAACCCAAGCACAGGATGTGCTATTCCTATACTTTCACCAAGAGATGCCCTTTATTCTGGAAAACTGCCAGTGAAGAAGACTACACAACTTCCTTGGGCAGCTTATTCCATTGTTCTGCTGTTCTTACAGCTATAAAGTTTTTCCTGAAAATTGTTTTAAATCTGCTTTACTGCAATTTCCCTTGAATAATCTTTGTCACTCATCCTGGGATCCCCTCCAGTTTCTCTACATCCTTCTTATAGTGCAGTGCCCAAAATGACACAGTACTGCAACTGAAGCCTAACCAGAGTTGAGTATAAAGGTACAGTCACCTCCCACGTCTTGCATACATTGCTTCTGCATCCCCAAACTGCATTCACTTTTCTTGTGATGGCATCACACTGCTGACTTATGTCTCTGATTCACTATAACCCCCAGATCTTTCTCAGCAGTGCTTTTGCTAAGCCAGTTAGCCTCCTATTCTTTATTTGTACATTTGGTTTCCTCTTCACTATGTGTAGCACTTTACACATCTGTGTTAAATTTCTATTATTCTGCTAAACTAGATGGTATAATCAATCTAAAGCACTTATAAACGGGGATCTGGGTTTTCTGTTTGCTGTGGAAAAACATGGATTTTCTCATTTGAAAGAGAAAAATGCAGATTTTCTCCTTTAAGACAGAAAAACATGGATTTCCACTTTAAAGGAGAAAAACCACAGGAAATGGTGGGTTTCCCCTTCCATCCTGCAAAGGGCTGCAGCAGTGGGGGGAGGGAGATTGGAGCATATAGTCAGGCAGGGTGGTGCAAGCAGCCCTGGCAGCTGGATGCAGATAAGTCTATGGGAGGTGGGAAGGAAGTGGGGGGGCCCTGCAGGGGCAGTGGGGAAATGTGTGGCCGGGTCAGCAGCACTGGGGCCAGTGCCCAAGCTCTCAGGGGTGGGGTGTCATCAACATCTCAGGTGTTGATGACATTCGGTATCCCATAGTCCTCTGCACTCCCTCCCTCCAAGAGGGCTCCCTGATAGCTTCCTCAGGGCAAGCTCCCCTATGGGGACCTTGCTATAGAAAATGCCACCCCTATCCAGGCAGTCAGCTGATTCTCCTGGGGCTGGAACCCTCTTAGGGCTCCAGGAGGGTTTCTGCTGCAGGAAAATGGCCCTTTCCTCCCTGGTCGGTGGAATAGGGGGGCATGGTCCAAAGCCTGAAACCCTCCCAAGTTGTCTGGCAGCTGCTGCCTGTTGACATCCTGCACCCTTCCCTGGCAATGGGCTCCCTTAAGCCAGGGATGAGCCAAAGAGCAGCCCTCCAGTGCCCCTGGCTAGAGAACTTGCCTGTGTAGCTCTCCAGGAGAGGAGCTAGAACACATGCATGCTCCAACTCCCAAACTGTTTTTCTAGTGCTAAGAATATCACAGAAATCCTCAGTGCTAGATATGAACGCCTGTCCATGGCCATTGTCCCTGCCCCAAAAAGTTTAGATAAAAAAGATACAGGACAGACAGAGTGAAAAAAAGATATAGGCAGAGCAATCCTGGAGACAGCAGGCAAAGACCATATTGATTATGTATTCTCTTGGTATTTTTAAATATATCTCAGATGTGTTTGTTGTATTTATATTACAAAAAAGAGAGCTATTTGTAGAGCTGGGGATGCCAGGTAGGATAGATGTGGAGAGGAGAAAGAGAAATTTTGGAGTACAGAGGGGTTGTAGCAAAGAGAATGTATAAGAAAGGGGGAAGGAGGGAGCTTGCTCACAGAAGGCAGGCAAAGTACCTTGTCCTCATGATTTCGATAGTAGTAAAAGGTTTTCCCAATCAGTGCACACCAAACCAGCTTAGAGTGACCATGTTTCACCTATAGGAAGGACAAAAGGATGAAAGATTTTCACCTGAGGATTGGCATTCCTGTGGCAGAATTTATACTTTTCTTGCAGACCTCATTGGACATCTGTACGTGTCATTCATTCTGAGCTAATGTGAACTCTCTCATTGTCTCAGCTAAGAAGCATTTTCAAAAGCACTTAAGTTCCTGAGCATTACATACTTTTGATAATGGGACTTGGACACTATTGAAAATTTTATCCACAATGACCTATTTTTATCATGTTTTGAAATGTAGTAATCAAAACACATGAATAAAAGGCTTTAGATGATAAAAAGGGATTCAGTAGATTAAAGGGTTGTCTAGGCTAGCATTCCTTCCTGTTACAGAGGAACAGACTAGTGAGAACTGTAGTCTGCTGTAATGAACAAACCAGAGACCCAGACAGTCATTAGCCATGTCTCAGACGTTGGCCAGAGTTGCATGAGGGATCCCCACAATGCATCTTTGTTGAGAGATGCTAATCTATGGACAGGGAAAAATTCCTACCTGATCCTTGGTGCTGATCATTTTTTGCCCACAAGCATGAGAATCCATAGTCTCTATTGTTATGTACTGTAGTAATGTATTGCAGATGTTATAAGAATAATCATTCAATACCTATTGAAACCTTGTAAAGCTATATCTTGAACAGTCTCCTGCAGTAGTACACTCTTCGGGTTAATCATCTGACATTAAAAAAGCACTGTCTTGGTTTAGAATGTTTTGCATTTCTGTTTTACTTGCAAAGTGCCTTGAGATCTATTAATAAAAAGCTCCACATAAGAGCTAGGTGCGCATTCCTATTGAACAGGGCCGGTATTTCCCTAATAACTTTCTCTATCCTGTTTTCATTGTATATAATGATCTCATTTGCCAGCACATTTGACATTTGGAATTCAACTCTGCCTTTCTACAAGCTCCAGCTTTCTAGGGAACCTACAGCACCCTCTTCATGCTGGTACTCAACATACAGACTCAGAGGGATGTGCTCTGGCAGGCCACTGCACACTGATTGAGACCACATTTGTTCTTACCTTGGTGAGCCAACCTTTCACAATAGGTTTAGCGTCACTATGAGGGACAGCAGCAGAGCTGGCCACTTGCACTGTAAGGATGCTTTGCAGGGCTCGGATCCATTCCTCCAAGATGTTGGGAGAGTCTGCTGTTAAGAAGTAAGTTCTCTTTTCAGTGATGAGCTGGAAGGAAAAGAGTGAAGAAATGTCACAGTGTGTCACCTTGTGATCTTGCCTTCAGTTGTTGAAGTCATATGATTCCGTGTCTTTCTGGTAATGATAGAGGTGCTAATTTTGTGTCCTGGCCAAATTCAAATAGCTGAAGCAAAGAGTTACCCATATTTACCTGAATCTAAGATGACCCTGAATTTAAGATGACCCCCTCCTCCATAAATAGATTCTAAAAAAAGGAAAGTGTATACATTTATTATACTTTTCCATGTATATAATCTAATTATTGGACAGTTGTCTTAAGTTCATCCCCCCCACTACTGCAGGCAGTGGGAGGACAGGCGATGAGGACAGCAGTAATGGGTAGGCGATTAGGGGACAGACATAGGGGAGGCAATAAGGAGGCAGGCAGTGGAGGGGGGGCAAGTGTTAGGGGACAGGCAATGTGGAGGTGGTGGGGAAAGCATGCAGTTTTCCCCCTGCTGCTTATCCTTCCCTCCCACTTACCCCCTTTTGTGCCTACTTCCCACAGCCTCAGGCCCCTGCCCTGCTTCCCCCACCCCCTCTCCTTCCCCTCTCCACACTGCTTCTGCTCCCCACAGCCTTGGGTCCCTGTCTTCCCTTCCCCCTTGTTTCCCACCCCACAAAGTCTACCCCCTGCCTCTCCCTCCACCCCCTGCTTACCTTTGCTATGGTGCAGGCAGGCAACATTTCCACTGTAACCCGGGGCATTGAGCACAGCTCCAGCCTAGCCTTGTAGCAGTGGTGTATAGCTGGCATCGCTGCTACAGGGCAGGGGTAGGGCTCTGTGCTCCAGGCTGCAGCAAAGACATAGCTTGCTGGCACTGGAGCAAAGAGAAGAGGGAATGGAGGGAGGACAGGGGAGGGGAAGGGAGGAGGAATGGAGAGGAAGAAGTGGGGTGGGGGGGAGGGAGAGGAAATGACTGGGTGTGGTGGGACCTCAAGGTTGCAGGGGGCAAGTGGCACCTGTGACTCTGGCCCTGAACCAGGGTTGAGGCCAAAGCTGGAGCCGCAGCAGCTGCCTTCTCTCCCCATCCCAGCCACATCATGCTTGATTGTAAGATGTGGGGCTTTTGCCCACATGTTAAATGGGGGAAAAATATTGTATTTTAATCGAGTAAATATGGTACATTTCTGCAACCCCCATTTTCTTTCCCACCCAGGTGTTGATTATGTGATTAAATGTTAAGCCAAAAGGCAATAATTACCTGGAATGTCTGGGAACCTTCACCCCGAACAATCTGGCAGGAAGAATTCAGCTCAACCTGACCCTGAGGTTTGCGGATAACATCACTCTGTGAAGAAAGAAGCAACATTAGTATTAGATTCTCCAGCCAGATGACAGCGTGGAATATGAAAAACCATATCTGAATGCAGGTGAGGCAACACATGATTGCCATATAAGGTACAGAGTAAGAGATGCTCCTTTCAGGCTAATGACAACATAACTCCCACAGCCTAGATTTACAGAACAACTATCAGCACAAACACCACAAATATAGGAAATCTTTACAGTGTGCTAATGGAAGAGCTGGGCAGCTTTCAGTGAAATAGCTGAACAATAATATACTTAGAAGTGACATGAATATGGTTGGCTAGAATACAAGGATATAGATGCACAGGTGACTACAGACCCCTCTATATAATATGCTTCTCCGGCACACACTATAGTGAATTTGCTAAAAAGTATCTATAACAACCCCTCTGGTTTTTCAGCCTCAGAACTTCAACATTTGGAAAAATGACATTTTTCATTCATCATGCATGCTCTTTAATCAAAAAATGAAACAGTAGGAATGGGCTCCAAGCAGGTATTCTTCAGCAAATGGAAATCCAGACCATGTCCAGCCCATAGAAAACTAACTAATGGTAGGTAAAATGTGACATCTAAATTAGAAATTCCAAGAGGAATTTATAGAGAAAGTAGTCAAAAACATAAAAACAGGTAACAAGAGTTTATTTTTTATCAGGAGCAAAGAGCTTGTGAGAAAACTGATAGGTCTGCTAAAGAGACAAATGGAGGTCAAAGACACTGAAAAGAAAATACATGATTTTTTTCACAGAGCATGCTTGGGAGAAACCTATTCCACCCACCTTTTCTTTTCACATATTAAAGATGAGACACTCTCAGTGTCTGAGTGGTCAAAAGAAATAGCTTTGGTACAGTGATAAATTAGAGAGACACTCTGTCTTGAAAATTAAATAAATTAATTCACCAGCTACAGACCGGATTTGTCCAAAAGTTGGAAAAGTATTTAAAAATGGAGTGAGTGACCTGCTAATAAAAATAATGTAATATCTGACCAAAACCAGCTACCCTGAAGGAGAACTGGAAAGTAGCAAATATTATACCTGCCTTAGAAGCCCTAACAAGGGATCTGGAAATTAACAAAATAGTAAGACATACCTCAATACTGGCAAAACTGGCTGAAATATTAATTAACACAAAATTATTAAACACTTTGGAAAATGTTCTATGATCGAAAATATCATATTTTCTGTAAAAGGAGAAGCATCTTTTAACTCTTTTATCTTAACTTTTGTTCAAACAATAGTTTCTCCTTTGTCCTCTATTTGTCAAGATGTTTAATGTGCACCAAATGTCAGAAAAAAACCCAACCAAAATGTCAGAATGCACAAGTAATGTAATAGAAAACTAAAGGTATTATAATAGTATTAGAAAAATCAGTGGTATGTCCTCCCTTGGAATACCGTGTTTAGTTTTGGTCACTCTGTCTTGAAAATGGCATAACAGAAACATGTATGTGTGGTGATAGGGTAAATCCACAAAAATAACTAGGGGCTGGGCAGACTTCCATGTAAAGGGAGATCGAAGGGACCAGGACTGTTTAGTTTAGTTTAAAAGCAGATGAATAAGAGGAAACATGATAGAAATAATGAACAAATAATGAACAATATTAGCTGGGAGCTCTTATTGTCATGGTGTAAGAAAAAAGGTTATCAAATGAAATTGAAAGGCAAAAACCAAGACAAGGAAATCAGTCCATTTTTATCCTGTGTACAGTTAATCTTACTGTAAATACCAAAAACTGAAGGAATTTTTTAAGGTAAGGTATCCAGGTTGTAGCTGTATTGGTCTAGATGAAAAGGCAATCAGGACTTGTAGTAGACCAACACGATTTTTGCAAAAAAAAAAAAAATAATAATAATAATTGCAAGCTTTTGGGCACAAACACCCTTCATCAGGCATTGGAGAAAAGATTGTAAAAGTTCTCCTGGGTAGAAAGGATATAATATTTACTATGAGTCTTGATTGCCTTTTAAATTGGGTAAACTACACATAAAAACCAGTCATGCTGGTGGGAGTTTGGAAGAAATGTCCAGTATGGGCAGATTACTGCATAGCTGGCCACAGTGGGGTTTCTTGTCCATCCTACTCTTAGAGCTAGAACACTAGCTGGGATGGTCAGTTAGCCTGATCTGGCAACTCCTGTATTCTAAGCAAGTTAGATGAAGGAGAATATTTGATGAAATGTTAATTGGTTCAGAGTAAGCACTTACAAGTGGGGATACTGAACTGAGAACAAGAAATCTATAGCGTATATATCACACTATTCTTTGCGTTAATGATCATATACTAATAGGTTGGAAAATGCTAGTTTTCTTTCAGGAACAATATGTGACCATGTGATTAAAGACCATATCACAATGCATATTCAGAAAATAGTCTGCAAGCAACCTGAATTTTCTCTTTTCTTGACCTTTGAGAGCTTTACCTACTGTTTTTTGTTTGTTTATGTGTTTACTTTTATGTTACAATGATCACTGCTGAGATAAAACAGGCTTTTGCCTTTTGTGATCTCTGTGAAATGAACCGCTCAGTCTTGGACTGGTTCCTAGTGAATTCTTGCTTCACAAAAACTGATGTACATGTGACTCACCGGAGACTTGTAGTACATGATTTGTCCATTTCTCAGGACAAACCACCTTCTCTTCCATGTCTTTACCTGGCTGCCCATTTTCAACAAATAGCCCGACTTTTCAATGGGCTCCTAAAAGAGATAGAATGTGTGGATTATCCTGGGTCTGCTCAGAGTACAACTGAAAAGGAAGTGTCCAAGCCAGTGCAGCCATCTACCAGATCTCTAGCATTCACCATCATCTCTCTGGTTGTTGCTACCAGCGGTCAGGACCCACCTCGCTACATGGCTGTGAGAATCTGCTACTGCCCATGCATGTGTGACTAGCCTAGTGCACTAGTAAGCTAGTGAAACAGGCACCTGATAGCAGGACTGGTTTTGCTCTTAGAGCTTGTCTGAACCATTGGGAATTATTTTTTCCCCACAATGTGATTGGCACTTTTCAGGTTTAGCTGCAGGCAGGCACTAGGAGGTCTCAAGTCCCCTGTGTGCCTGGTTTCTTACTTTCAAGAGCATTGTGTAAAAAGGATGAAGGGTTGGATGAGTACCGGGCATATTGGAGAACAGTGATAGATTCTAAAAGCATTATGCTCTCCTCTGGCCTTCTACCTAACACAGGCCGTAGACTCGGATCAAGCAGTTAGCCTATAACTTATGGCTGAGCTGAGACAGGAGTTCAAACAAGACCATCCTCATGCCTTTGGGATCTGTGCTCCACTTTTTCCTTACCCTTATGACCAGGCAGAAATAATTTAGTGGTTGAACATCCCCATTCTCATTGATGCAGGAGCACTTTTTACCTTCTGCTTATCCATGTAGCTTGCTGTAGTTATGTTGTACAGTATTAAGTCCACTATAGTTAAGACAAGATATATCACGCTTTGTACCAATAGATTGCTTTTCATTTGGAGATCTCAAGCTCTTTACTGAGATGTTCATTTGTTATTAATCCCATTTGATAGGGGATTGGGATAAGGGAACTGAGAAGTTAAGTAACTTGACCAATGTTATGCACTGAGTCAGTGGCAGAGTTGGGAACATATGGAAACTTGGTTGCTCTACTCATTAGACCAAAATGCACCCCTCCTCGCCCACCACCCAAGTTTCCAAATTAAATACAAATTGTTTCCTCGCAACTGGGTACAGGCATGACCTTCATCTCAAAAACTGAACAGGCAGGAGAGTTATGAGGGTAAGCAAAAATCATATTGATGGCAATAGGGTCCAGAGGCATTAGATCCTGAATGCTCAGCACTGGGGAGCTGTTTTTGGACATTATGGGGTTTTCACCTTCTTCAAACATCAGGCAATGGATACTGCCAAAGACTAGCTGGACCATCAGTCTGAGCTGGCATGGCAGACCTTCATATTCCATAATATGAACACAGACAAGTGTAAGGTGATGCACCTGGGGAGGAACAATCGGCACCACACATACAGGCTGGGGAACTCCCCTCTCGTCAGCACGGAGGTGGAAAAGGATCTGGGAGTCATTATTGACTCCAAGATGAACATGAGTCGGCAATGTGGGGAGGCGGTTAGGAAGGCCAACTGCACCTTGTCGTGCATCCACAGATGCATCTCGAGCAGGTCCAAGGAGGTGATCCTCCCCCTCTATGCGGCACTGGTCAGGCCGCAGCTGGAGTACTGCGTCCAGTTCTGGGCGCCGCACTTTAAGAGGGATGTGGACAGCATCGAGAGGGTCCAGAGGAGGGCCACTCGTATGATCAAGGGACAGCAGGGTAGGTCCTATGAGGAAAGGTTGCGGGACCTGAACCTGTTCAGCCTTCAAAAGAGAAGGCTGAGGGGGGATCTTGTGGCCTGTTATAAACTGGTTAGGGGGGATCAGCAGGCGCTGGGGGAGTCCCTGTTCCCCCGAGCGCTGCAAGGAGTGACCAGGAACAATGGTCACAAGCTGGCGGAGGGAAGGTTTAAGTTGGACATCAGGAGGCGCTACTTCACGGTCAGGGCGGCTAGAGTCTGGAACCAGCTTCCAAGTGAGGTGGTGCAGGCTCCCACCCTGGGGGTTTTTAAGAGGAGGTTGGATGACCACCTTACTGGGGTCATTTGACCCCAGTGCTCTTCCTGCCATGGCAGGGGGTCGGACTAGATGATCTGCTCAGATCCCTTCCGACCCTAGAAACTATGAAACTATGAATATTGAAAGTACCGTGGTTTTGCCACTGCCCTTCAAGGGCCAATGCTGCATTCACATCCCAGTCTGTTTATTGAGATGACACAACTCACATTGCAGATCCCACCATCAGCAGAATAGGAAGATGTCCGCTGCAGTTTGTGCTCCGGCTCTGAATAGTCACCATCCAGGGAGTAAGCATCTGGGGGAATGGCATAGTCACTCTCTGAGCTCAGTGAAGACATGGAGACACCTGTGGAGAATACAGGAAACAATAGGAATTTTGTGTGGTCAGGGGGGAGAGAGAGAGAGAGAGAGAGATCTGTAACTTGCACCTGAAACCCACCACACATTTCTCTGGGAGCAGTAGAGATGGGAAGGAATTCCAACTCACAGTAGAGGCTGCCTGGGGACACCCCTAGTGCAATCAACCCATGGCTTTATAAACCGAGTCAAGATATTCACCATCTGAACCACACATATGAAGTTTCACTTAGAGACTTCAGTTGTAAAATCAGAAGTTTACCCCTGAAAGTATAGGAGAACCACCATCATCTATTACCAGTAGAAAGGCTTTACTTTCTGTACCCCTGCAGCCATTAACCATCGTGCTGAGATAAGTTGCTCAATACCTCATGCCAACAGGCAATGTAAAATTATATACAATAACATTCAATTTTTTTTATCCTTATGAGCACCCTGCACTTTAGACCCAATCTAATCTTCCTGAAAAATCAGTTCTCATTCTTAGGTGTTTTGCCAGGTTTATTTATACTGAGTAGGATACAACTTACCTGATGTTTTCAAAGACAAGAAATTACTGCACAGCTTAAGTGCCGTTTGGTTTCTGGTGAAGAATTTACTAGCTTGTGACAGAACTAACAGGAGCCAACAGCAGTTTTGTTGATATGAGCTGGCATTAGCTTGCCTAACAGAAAAAGTCACTGTGGCCCAAGAGATAGGGATGCTTTTTTGACTTACAATTAATTAAGTTCATGATTCCAAGGATCTACATATAGATGTAGTGATCAAAGAGGGAGATCCCAAAACTGATCCTGCATTGGACATTTGCCACAGACTATAAACTGCCCTAGAAAACTCTGTTGTGACTGACAGCTCATATTTGCTTGCTCTCAGTCAGCATGCTGGGAGGTTTCCCAGACATCAGGAATGGGAGGGCCTGGCAGCTCTGTGTCCAACCTTGATCACTGTATAAAGATTTACCTTGTCTCACTTCCAGCATCAGGATTCTGACTATTCCCTAGGAATGCCCCTGTCTTACCTCGTTTCACTGCACGAGGGCTGCCTGGCATGCTGGCTTTCCTGTTCTCAGACCCAGCATTGGACGTCCTGAAGCTGGCATGGGAGCTGCAGTCGTCATCAGAGCCTGAGGACTCATCTAAGAAAGGAACGTTGCTAATCTGGGTAGCTTTCTGGAAAACAAGCCTCTGAGGTCAGAATGTGAGGAAGGAGGATTTTCCAGTGAAGTCACATGCCACAGTATGTAAGGAGATTACATGAATAAAGCAGTCCAGTCTCATCCCTTTGAGCTATGTGGGCCCCAATGCACCACACAATTGCTCCAGTATTCTCAACTCTCATTTCCTATTCACCCTCCTCCAGTGGCATAATTGAGGAGGCAACCAGGGCAGCAGCCCTAGGCACCACCTTTTGCCACACTGGCAGCTGCCCACCCTGCCACAATCAGCATAGTAGCAGCTGGCACAGCCCCTGCGTGGCGGAGGTTTTCTGGGTGTGGGGCTGCACTGCTATGCTTTTGTCCTCCTCCCTTGAGATCCTCCTGCATAATTCTCTTCTACATCTCATCTACCTGGAGTTCCCCAGGTTCTACTCTTTTTGGCCTTCACCAGCCCAATCTTTCTTCTTGGGCTAACAAGAAACATCTTCCATTTCATTGCCTAGCTTTCATCCCCATCACACCCACTAAGTAGTGTGCTCCTGGACCTCTCCAAGCTCAACCATCCCTGTCTTCCTAGAGCTTCCTCAGAGCATGTTGGAGATCCTTGGACCAGAACATGCACAAAAGTCCCATCCTCCCTGTGCAGAGCCAGTAAATAAATGCTGATTGGTCAGGCAGGGGATGGAGTTTTACTCTATGTCTGGGAGGGAATGCAGCTTGAATGGGAGCCAAGCTGTGCCTAACAGTAAGGGGGGAAAAGGGAGTGGGGGCAGGCAGAAGCTGCAGAGGGCAAGCAGAAGGAGACATGAGGCTTCTGGGGGTCTGACTCTGGCCCTGACCCAGGGTAAGGGTCAGAGTCATAGCAGCCACCTGACACTTGCCTTTGCATCTAAATCTAAGATGAGGGGCTTCCCCACTGTGCCGACTGGGTGGGAAAACCTCATTTCTTATTTGAATAAATATGGTACTATGGCATATACTAATCCTCTGCAGCCTGATAGTCTCCAGGTCTTCCTGGCATTCTCACACCATATTGCTTTCCTCAGATTTGTCCCATGCTGATGCCAAGGTGGCACTTTTCATATTATTTCATATTCAGAGAGGAGACGAAGTAAATCCTTACCCCCTTAAGTGTGGTATAGACTGGCACCGTGACATTTCTATAAATGAGGCAGATGAATGGCCCAGAAGCTGAATGTGATGTAAAACTTGAATCTGTGGAATTCAAAAGGAGAGAGAGAGCATGAGTAATAGACACTTGTGAGAAGCAGCAGGTTCTAATGGGGTATATATCTAAGAAAGTATGCATTTGGCAATGGGGAAATCTTAATGAGAATGAACTAATAAGAAGGGGAGTCCTCTGGGATTTGCAAAGATTGTAGGGTGGGTCACTAATGTAGAATATATTAGTAGTAGAATTCTAGTAAGTGCAGAATACAGTTGTATGAGGCAGCTGCAGGGCTTCCCCTGGTCAGACAGTGGAACATGTCATCTGCTCCTCCTACTTGTCTCCCATTGTGATGGCAGCAAGACAGTGTGAGCCACTCAAAGGCAATATCTTTAGCATTCTGGTGGGACAGTGCATAATGAACCACAGCTTAACTAGGCTAGGGTGTGAATATTTGGCCATCTTATGCATTAACCAACCAAGAAGAACTGGACAAAGAGCTTGCCTTTGATCTCTTCAATTGCTGTGGCAACTTAGGTTCCGTTCACCTAGGTTCAAGTATACCTCAAGTGGCTAGCCAATGCAGCATGCTCAAGGATATCAGTGTCAGAGGACCATGATGGATTTGGACCTTGATAATTCATTTCTTTAACAGGCCTTCCCTACCTTCATTTTAGAGGGGTTCATGCCTGTGCCATCAGAGCAGATCACAGGCATGCAGATGGCAGGATGGGTATGCAAAAGTAGTGCCCTTTCACAGATGTGGAAGGAGAAAAGGGAGTGAATTCTCTACAGATGGTAGGGGCCAAAAGAAAAGGCCATACATGGGCCCTAGTATCTTCCTCTGTATCCTGTCTGACAGGCAAGTAAAGCAAAGAACCTGAACAACCAGAGGTTAAGGTCTTGAAGCTTCTACCTAAGCCCCCTCTCAGGATGGATTTAGTCATGACTTACTGCAGCTGGGAGAGTCACACCCAAAAGCCACTTCAGACAGCCTCATGCCAGACTTGGCCACTGCATAGATCCGGCTCTCCTGGAATAACACCAACACACAGGGCAATGGTAAAATAAAATGCCAGGAAATAAACATTACACTGTAAATCAATTGGACTGCTTTCACTTGTTTATATCTAATGGTTTTCCAGGTCATTCTGTCCCAAATGGAAGTACTTTTCATACAGGGAGAAATACTGGGTAAGAAGGAAAGGATCTCTAAGGAAAAATGGTGCATCCCATTGCATGGTGGTTTCTAATGGCAGGTTAGCCAGTCCATCTTCCTTATCACTGCTTCAGTGTACAGAGATCACATTTGCAAACTGAGACACTGGCACTCAATCGTCCATTTACTTTTAAAATAATTTGGAACTACTGGTTTTGTTGCTATGAACAGTCCATTAAAAAGTATCAGGAAAGGTCTGTAAATAATAACTATATAGAATTGGCATGTGTGAAGAATTCCCATTTTCCGACAAGGGAATGGAAGCAATGGCTGGAATTGTCTGAATAAGCTTCGGCCTGACTTACAATAACATATGGCCTTTTATCTTCAAGGATCTCTTGAGTGTTTCAAAAATGTCATACAAATTCCATGGAAAAAATGTGGCACTAATGCAACAGAACATTGACAAATCAACCAGTTAGTGTGCAAATGCAAAGTTAAGGTTGGTGGATAATCATCATTCTTATCATGCTTATTCTTTAAAATATACTATCTCAACATAATTACATTAACATTGTGAGTGTGAAAAGAAGCACTCAACATTAAATGCCATAATTAACATGGTCTTTAACTACATTCTCATACTTTATTTTTCTGTAGAACCCCAGCCTCATTTGGTGCCCAGAATAGAGAGTACTCAGTTAATAGGCATCTAATCAAAATTTTGTTTTCACTTCATTGCTTATTGTGACCCCAGGCCTTATTTAAATGCATGCAATTCAAACCCAGCTCAGAAAACTGAATAATTAACCCCCTCAGGGGCTCTTATATATTGCTTATCATTAAGGTATCTGAGTGCTTCACAAGTATTAATTCATAATCACAACATTAATTCATAGTCACAAAACCCTATGGATGAATAAATGGATAAAATTATGCCTGTTTTACAATTGAGGCACTGAGGAGTTATGCTCAAAAATGTTCACCAATATTGGGTTTGTGATCTAAGTTGCATAGGTCCTGCTTTTTTTTTTTTCAAATCATTTAATATTATATGACACCAGTAGTAAGGCAGGGTGACCAGGACAGCAGCCCCAGGTTATGACTTAGTGGAGAGAGCCACAGAAATATAACAGTCACTACTCACTTGGGAGCTGGTGCCCCAGTTGCTGAGCTTTCCTGTTATGCCTCTGTGGACATGTCTACACATGCAATTAATGTGAATGAGTAAACTCCGGAGCTTATTGTTCTGGAGTTTATTGCTCTTAGGCATGCCATTTGAATGTGCGCTCGGGAGCAATAAGCCCCAAAATTTATTAATGTGTGGCACATCTAGCTGGGGCTGCTCCCCCCAGCTCAACGTGCTGCAGAGGGGCTGGCTGGGGCACAAGGGTGCTTTAGCACGGGGCTAGCTGGCAGGCAGCCCCCATGCTGAAGCAACCTCACGCTCCAGGCAGCTGGGGCAACGTCTACATGTGCACTGCTGCAGAGTTAGTTTACTGTGGCCTAATAGGGCTAATTAGTTAGCTGCACAGTAAACGTCTTGTATAGACATGCTCTGTGTAACACTATTTGTTCAAAACACAGATCCCACTGACTTCAG